CCCCTCCACTTCCTTCACCACTACAATAGTGGAAGTTCCTGGGTTCGTTCTAACGATGAAGGAAGCAATATAATACTCGAAAGTAACTCGGTAATTATGATCCCCTCTTCTGAAGAAGGAGAAAACCGCACTTGAAAACTTTATTTTACCTGTCGTCGAGAAAATGAAATTGTTCATTCAGGCCACGTTTGATTGCCAAGTATGGTCATCGAATCTTTTATGTAATGGGTATTCCGCCAGTCGCTGCATTCATTGGAGCAACATTATTCAATTTTTCGTCATGGCCAGATGAAGAAACGGATGCGGCGTTCAAAGATATCGCTCATTCATTCAACCAGAAAACTTCCGACTCCTTCCTGGTCGCCACATTAGAGTTCTCTGAGGTTTGATGCAACACAGTCATTGTAAAAGTATTTTTTTAAACTATTCCTAGCAATTCATCTGTTAATACACTCTCTCTGCTAAAGGAGCCGTTGAAAAAAGGTATTTAAAAAATCTGATACCATACCGCTTCACCCAAAGCTTTAAACCGTAGATCTAGAATTTGCTATCGGGTTTGCTGGCCGCCTTGCCCTTTGGTATTCTGATGACTTCATAGGAAATAAGGTTACCATACTATTACTATTTCACTTTTTCGAAATAAATTAGCTGACACACAGAGTCAAAATAAGTTCGCTTCATTGGATAACACTATCAAATTTAGGGTCCTGAAACGACTTTACTTCAAATCGTCAAAACGTTCACTATGAAACTATTCATTGCATATTTCATATTATTCTTAATAATGAGTTTCTATCTCATGGCTGCCTGTTGTTGGCGAATCGTAAAGGAAGTCAATAAAGGGACAAGCAGAAAAATTGCATCATTACAAGGACAACTGAACAGACTGCTTATAGCTCAGGTAACCAGAGATTGCTCATTTGTACAAATCGTTCTGTGCGAATCAAAATATTTTCTCAATTTCAAAAATAAAATTCATAAATTGGTCAATAAAATGACCCCTACAGACGTCTTACATGGCATGGAATATTAGGGAAGGTTCTATAATAGCTGAGTATCGAGGCAGATCTCCATAGTGAACTTGTCCTGCATATTTTGGTTTTGGAGGGGTCCACATTTAGATTGAACGCGGCACAGCCTTCAATGCTACCGTCTACCAAGTTGGTAAGGCAGCGCCATCGATTGATATCGATCGATAGCACTTCGAAAGCCATAACAGCCATATCAATAGTGAAGACATTAATGAAGTCACAGCACTGACCTTTCGATCTGATCGACGAGTCCGTTACCCACGAGTTCATAAACTTTGGGGAAAGTGGAACCGGATTCTGATTTGCACCATTGAGCACCTACAGCCCTAGGAAATTTAGTTCAGGAAGCAGCTGGCTTCCGCAATATGCTCGTTCTTTTTTTTACAGCGTAGCTGTGACGCTTTGCCGAGACTAATTGGTAAGAAGTAAGTCAATCTGAACGAGCTTTTCAGGTTTTGATACCATTTATATGTATCCATACACCTTTCTATGTGTGTTGCTTGGCACCGCTATTCGACATAGACACAGGAATCGTTGCTGACTACTTGCCGATACTGTTCGCTTGGCCGTCTGTACTTGATCCTTTGATGGTGCTGGGTTTTGTCAAAGATTTCCGTGAATATGTCTTTTCGGCTTGTAAAAAGAAGCAGAAGCAAAACTCTAAAGTGTTCACTAGATCGTTTTAATTTCGCTTTCGAAAGTGTTTATTAAATGTATCATATTTTGACGTTAATAAATGTTTATCACACGGGCCGGCTGGCATCTGGTAACAAGTGGTACTTAGGAGTATTGCCGTAGTGATCCAATCACCTTGATTCTTTATTGTCTTGTTGCTTGCCAATAGCTCGAGAGGGCGTCAGTTACATTTCCATTCGTACCTGTCGTGAGCCAAGCTTAGAGCTTTCGTGGACACGTCTGAAAACCGGGCTGAAAGCCATCCGTGGGCGTAGCGATGTAATGAAGGAGTGAATTATCAGGAGTGGTAATCCAAATAGTTATTGGCCTAAACTTGGACTGACAAGGTAATCTTGAGGGTCAGTGCTTCTACCATACGCCGCTGCTCCATTCTACTTCCACCTTTTTTCGCAACCTTTCCACCGGAGGCACTTCTTTCTGTAATTACTGTAAAAAATTCATTTTTAGTCGACCGTCTCAGGTTGTCGTGCTAGGTAGATTCAGTTGCCAAATGTCAAAAAGTTCAAGCAGGCATCCTACGCATTAAAAGTTATTGGCCACTTGGATCATGAGGTATCCGTTTTCATGACTTTCCAAGGCGATGAAGATGTTTCGCTACAGTGTCGTGACGGCATAGTGTTTTTCGGCAATCTTGATAAAATGCCGAGTATTTTGAAAACAGCAGTGAGAAAAGCAAATAAAAACGAAAACTCATAATTATTGCTGAAGAAATACGCTTGATTTCAATGAGCTTCTGCACAAGAAGGGCAAGCTAGGTTCAGTGAGGGTTTTGGAGTTCTCTGGAGGTTTGGGTCTAGAAGACGTTTTTCGCAGACAGAAACGCTGTTTTTCCGAGTTTCGCCGAATACTCATCAGCTTTTTTCGACTTATTGTTAGCTGGATTTTCCGTCATTAGGGCAGTCCAAAATCTGGTTAAGCAATTTTCCCTAACAAAAATTTTCCTGATGTAAAAAGAGCAATAATAGGCAGCTTATCATACCACTCTAAAGGGCGAAAAGGTAGCGTACAAATATAAAAAAAAAAGTCGACGGAAAGGGAAAAAAGCCCTATGGTTTTCTTAGCTTACAAAGATGATTAAGAGAACTTAGCGTGCTAGCGGAAAACAATCTTGTAGTGCTCATCATCGTTGTCTACTGCGGTATAATTACTGAACGAAGCCACTTTTTACGATCAGACTTTTACCTTTACGATGGTCATTTACGGCGCAAAGTGTAGCAAGGTCATCGCAGGTCCAACATACACATAAAAACAGTAGAGTGAGAAGAGGGCTGGATCAACGACCACTTCCATAGTTAAGCCATGCATGCGACTTCCATGAATAGTCAAGATAATTGGAGATGTGATCTTGTAGGAAATGTCATGGTGGTTCCTGAGCGGATTTTCATGAAGTACCGAACACCTCGTCACCTGGCTTTTTGTACAAACCTCACCTCAGCTAATTGAGCCTTCACCCTCCCTAATTTTTTTCCTATTTTCTTCACAAAATAGTGATAAATGAGATTATCATCATAAAAAGAAATAAACGATTGCTTGAGGGCTTCAGACATCCCTTTTTTGTCGTTCATTGCGGATTTTGCGAGAGAAGTTGAAGGAGAAAGAGTTTGAATGTCGTTTTTCTGCTTGAAATACAGAAAAAATACGAAAATCTATTGCCCGTCTGTCACTCTCCCTTCGCCTGAGCTCCTATTAACCTAGCCTCAGTCTAAATCCGTTGTTTGCCTGACGTAAGGCGAACATTTCGCTTTCACGATGAAATACTGTGCATCCGCACCATGAATGCTATGATGCGTAGGCGTAGCGAGTAAAGTAATTTTTGGATTATCCTCTCGAGACCCACTTCCTATTAGAGGGGAAAGGTCAAGAAGACCATACGTAACTCCTCTGATTGAGAACCCTACCGAACGTCTTGTAACCATCTACAATCGATGCGATGATAATTTTTCGTTACCAGGAGCGACTTAAAAGTGCATCATGGGTGAGTCACGAAATACAATCAGTGCATATTAAATCTTCGTTTAAAAGCTATGAAGTTCTGCATGATTATTTATTTCTGGCACTTTGACACTATGCTTTCACTCAACGAGTTTTTTCATCTCATTCGATTCTGTAATCAAACTCTTCATTGCTTTGGCATTTTAAGCACCAGGATTCATATTCAACTTTATTTATTGTCATATTGCCTTTAATTCCTGTTGTTATAGTACCAATACTAAGCGTTTTACAATTCAACTACAATAGCTACGAGAGCGTTTGATCCTAATTTCTATTTGTAATTGGTTTTTATTCCATATTTTTCTATATATGGAATGTTCATACAAGTTTCTCACCCATCAGTCCAAATATTTAAAGTACCTATTTTATTTTTGTTCCCAAAGTGTGGCGAGCTCCTTAGAATCTTGATAACCTGAACATATACGGAACGGAAAGGTTCTCGAGAGTAAGAGAAACGGCGTGAAATCTCTGAATTCTTTGGCGTTGTTCATTCCGTTCTTGGGATGCTCCACGCTTTCGACTTTTATTCGGAATCGTTGGGGCAGTTTGAGTGCGTTTGAAATTTACACAAAGTATTGCGGTAGCCAGCCAGTGCATAAGTCAGCGCTTTTATACTGCCAGACGAGTTTGGCAGCTATGAAGCGATTTCAGAGAGATAGAAAGCTTAGTTGACCTGGGGAGTATCACTCCAAATTCGAACCGTGGACCGTGAGTGTGTGATAGAGCTCTGTTTACCATGACACCAACTCCCAAAAGGAGCGACATATCAGAGGCTACTCGAAACGAGCAATAAAGTGGCTATGTAAGGTTAAACTGGTTAGTAAGGGGGTTCACTCCCCCCCCCCCCCCCCCCCCCCATGTGGGGCCCGCCATCGATTGTGATATGATAAGGCCCAATCCCAGCTGTAAAGTGGCAGCAAACGAAAGGAGTTAGCAAAGGGTTTAGACCTGAATAGCATTTGGGGGTTATCTCGGCTTGTACAACTTTTTCCCCCACATGGTTCGCTTGAACTAGTTGAACTGATCGCGGGTTGCCCGCTTCCTGGTGGAGGTAATGGGAAGCAAGGTAACGATGAAGGTGAGCTTCCTCCGTGAAGCTGCCCTAGCCACTTCATTGGGAAATAATTCAATTCTCCCTACCAAAAACTCCACTTTGTAAGACAGAGGCGAGCGGCCAAAACAGTTCGGAAGGAACAGTCGGCAAGTGAATTTTCTGAAGTTTCCACAGAGAACGTCATAAAGCGAACTCGAATTCCAGTTGCAAAACGGATTTTCAAAAACGCGCTTATTTAGTCAGTTATATGTAACTATTAGCACAATACTGAGCAAAGACTGACACATGCCATAGTGGTCGAAACTCTTCCAGCAGAATTGACTCTATGGGGTGTTGGCGAAGTATTCAACCTTTTATGGCCGCTCTTCGAGCTATTCAAAACCTTTTATGGCCGCTCTCAGGAGCAATTCAAAAATAAAACTTCAAAGTTCCAATTTTAGGTTCCAATCTATTTATGGTTTGCATGGTTCTGTGGACGAAGTATGTGTTGTGTTCCAACACAAGGCGTGACCACAACAACGAATGCTCCACAAACTTCTACGACTACGCCAATATTTATTCCTACCACAACCTCGGAAATCATTACAACAACGACAACGGCGTTGCCGCCTGAAACGACAACGACTTCCACTACAACAACCATCATTACCACTACCGAAATCCCCACCACCACTACCACCATCGTCCCCACAACCACTACCACCACCGAAATCCCCACAAACACAACCACCACCGAAATCCCTACCACCACAACCACTACCGCTCTCATCAATACCACCAGCACTACGACCATCCCTACCACTACTACCACAGCCCCCACTACCATTACCACAACAGTCCCCACCACCACTACCACCACTCTGATGAACACCACCACTACCACTACAGCACCCATAAACATCACCACCACCACAACCGCTCCCACTACCACCACCGCAATCCCCATAAATACCACCACTACCACAGCCGCCCTCACAACCACTACCACAATCCCATTGAACACCACAACCACCACAACCGTTCCCATCACAACTACCACAACCCCCTTAAACAGCACCACTGCCGCCCTGACAACTACCACTACAATCCCGTTAAACACAACAACCACTACAACCGTACCCATCACCACCACCACAATCCCCGTAAACACCACAACTACCACAACCGTACCCATCACAACAACAACAACCCCCTTAAATACCACCACTACGACAATCCCGTTAAACACCACAACTACCACAACCGTCCCCATCACAACTACCACAACCGCCTTAAACACCACCACTGCCGCCCTGACAACCACTACTACAATCCCGTTAAACACCACTACTACAACCATCCCCACCACCACAACTACAATCCCCGTAAACATCACGACCACCACTGCTATCCCCACAACCACTACAACAATTCCTGTAAATACCACCACTACCACAACCATCCCCATTACCACTACCACAGTCCCCATAAATACCACCACCACTGCCGTCACCACGACCACCACTTCCTTGAATATGACCACCACCGTTCCTCCGACCCTGGAAGGTTTGTCATATTTTATTCATAATCACAGTATTTTATAAAATCGAGCATACTACTACAGATTTAAAAAAGGTTGCAGATAGTGTAGGGTCAAGCAAGCATTGCACCCATCCCCCCCCCCCCCCCCCCCCCNCCCCCCCCTAGATTGGTGAGTCTACCTAAAGTGCGCTCTTTCGTTTAAGGCTCTACCAACGCTCGATCCCTTCTTAGCACTTTCTAGATAGTGCCGAGCATTTCTTCCTACACGCAGTAGAATCCAAAATTGTCTTTGGTCTAGGTAGCAGCTCCTACGTAATGAACAAGATGTTTACCTACGCGCCAATTACTACTTAACTATCTCCATGGGAGAGGTTGGCTCGGGTATTGTGGACGAGATTCCATGTCCAGAGTATAATTCTGGAAGAAATGTGGTCTATCCCAACCCCATCCCAAACTTGTCCACTAACATCTTACCATCTACTAGTATCTTTCTTTTTACGCTATGATAGTTCTGTTTAGAAGTTTGTCCAGCTCTGGTACAAACCCCGACGGCTACTGACTTCCCAGATGGAATCATGACATTCGTGTACAACCAGAACAGGACTTCAGTCGTCGCTACGTGCTCGTAAGTTTATTTTTTGAAAAATGTGATTACTCGGAGGCTCTTAGACCTCCTAGAGCAAGAGAGGAGGCAGTTGGGGTAGGGGAAGGGGTAGCGCCGAAAGCAGTAGCGCTACGAAGTAGTTTACAATCCGGAACACCGTAACTTTCAGGCAAACTGATCCTGCATTCGACTTGAATGCAGCCATTGTGGCAAATCGCCTGAACTTTTTGGACTTCGGACCTAGGAATGTTAGCTTCCCTGGAACGTGCAATTCGACACTCATGCGATGGTAAGGATCCCAGACATGCCATTAAGTCCGTTGTAAATCTTCTTTTTGAATAACAAGGTGATTGCAACAAACTAAATTATGTACGCAGATCAGAGACGGTAAGGCTCATGTTTACCTCAACGGTTCACTGTAAACATCTTTTCGGATCTTTCTGTCTATCAGAAGTGAATGTGCCATTTGAGTTTTTAAGTTTTGCGTTTTCGTTGTTCGCATCCTTCTCTTCATGTTCATATAAAGAAGCGAACCGGCCCTACCCGCAGTTCTATATATTTTTTCCAATAACTATTTTTTTGTAGGGAAATGGGAGAGCCACCGTTGCTAATCGATACGCTCGAATGTCTATTGACCAATCCTCCTAACGGATAGCAGTTTGTGGTCTGACGTTTCTCTGACTTCAATCTTCCCTGGATTGTTTCCAGGATACCAAAGTCATGCTGCTGTTCCGGTTCGAAACTAACATACCTTCACAGAGCACAACTAAACGCATTCCATACATGCCTACTTGATTCCTTCTTGCATGACACATTAACGATCAATTTCAACAATTGTGCCATTATTATAAATTACACTTTTTGAAATTCATAATAATTACTGGGTGAGGGAATGTATGCCCGAGCGGTATGCCACGCTATCCGCACCATCTGATGTCGAAGAGTTTAGAGGGTGATTGAAATGCGCAACGTATAAGCCGGATTCGAATGATTGCGACGTAGACTTAGTGAGTGGTTACGGTCAATGCAGTTCGATGCTTTGCGACCACTATCAATGATTTTGGCGTGCGCATGTCCGTGGGAACTCGGGCATAATTCCGCCACCCGCGCTTCCTAGGCGCACATTGACGACCTTCAGCCGATGTTCTGCACTAATAACATCATTTTTGTTTTTGCTTGGAATTTAGATCTTTCATTTTCACCATTGGTAGACTGCTATTTATTCGAAAGTTCAAATATTGACGGGTTTATAGGAAGGCATGCTATCAGAGATTAAATTTCTTTTTTTCCTCTGATGATCTATGTACCTCAGAGCATGTTTATTACTGATGCCAATAAATGTTTATTACTTTAGTTGGTTTTTGAACATACTATGTTCGTCCTACCAGTGCCAGTAACTTCTTTGTATGGGGACACGCGACAGAGAACGCCATCTGTGCCATCTATCAAGCGTAACTCATTACGGTAATCTTGGGGTTCGGGAGTGAGCAGATAAGGACGAGTCTCGTTTTCCACTTGACAATCAAATATTCAAGAAATGACTTTGCTAGAACATCTCCAAGCTCTTCCCATCTTGTACTGAAGTGTTGAACTTAAAAGTTCTTCCGCCTCTTAATTTAAAGGCACAGCTCACGTTAATTTTGGGGTATCCGGTTTTTTGGCGAAATTTGACAAAAAATGTTAGATACGGCCTACAATAGTACAATGGTAATAAAGAAAACGCGAAAAAAGATGAATATAAAGAAATAGACAGT